TTACGCACAGCAAAGATATCTGGAAAATATGCAGAAACCTCGTTTTTGAAGAAGTATATTTTTTTAAAGATTGTTTTTCTGGGGTGCCTGATAATGTGCAACGTATAGACACGGCGTTCAGGCAAATTTAGTCTTGTGAAATGAAAAGAAATGATGCGTGAATGGCAAGCATGCGCGTGCGCCATGAACGAACAGAGGTCTAGTGACATAAGATTTACTGTGGACATAAAAGCAGTAAAGGGATTCCTGTAGATAAAAGGGTCTCCCTGTTCAGACAGAGTTGTGTGTAGTGTCACGGAAAAAATAAACTTTGGTTCCTTTAATTTGGGGAAAGGATGTTATTGTGAGCCCAAGACGCGGCGGACATTTGGCAAAAGACAGCTATAGCGGCAGAGATTTTGCACAGAAAATAACATTTTATTAAAATGTGTATTTATTTTATTGGGTATTTCTTGTATATATGTTGTTATTCTTTTATTAATCAACTGTATAACGTTTTTCTGGGTTTCATTTGAGGACGCAAATGATGTAAAGACATTGGACAGTTATTATTTTCCACTTTAACCTGGTATATCTTTGTTAATCTTGATAATATCAATACAACAGCTTTCAAGAAGAACGTTTTGCTTTTTATTTTCAGGTAACCTTGCCCTCTTGTGTTTCTTTTTCAGGGATCTGGAATGGAACTGAATCTGTCGAAGAATGTCATTTCCTGTGGGGATCCAGGTAAGACTTCTCATCTGCCCACCTAAGATCGTTTCAGAGAATCAAAGGTTTAAAATAATCGGATAATCAGATTTTTTTTTAACTTGGCCTAGAATCTGGTAAAACGATAAGATGCTGGTTGAGGGGCCAAAGCTCCATCATGTTATTAAATTCAGGAAGCCAAGCGGCCTCAACTGTCATTTTTAGGTGTTATGGTCAGGTCAGGACTACGTTCTGATATGCGGAATAAGACTTGCAAATAGGTTCGGAATTCAAATGAAAATAAACTGAACCGTTTTCACAACGTGCCCCTTTGTTCAAAGCTGGATGTCGCTCACAGAGCAATTTGCTTCATATTTTGTCGCTGGTGGATGGTTATTTCCTGAAGCGTTGTTTTGCCTTTGATAAATGAATTTAACAAACAAAAACTAAACGTGAAACCAGATGGGGACCAAGAGACAACATTCTGTTGAGAGGGGAGTAGGTCCAGGGCCCTGCAATATTCCTATGTATATTACTAAGCTTAAGCTCAAGTTGAAATAATGTGTTCTATGTTCAACAACTAAACATTTGGGATCATTTAAGGAACGCCTTGCGGAAATTAATTCTATTTAACTTTTTTTTTTAAACTATAAACAGCCTCTTACAATACCGTTTTATTTAAAGATATGACGTAAATCGTATTTGACACTGTAAGACTTTGGTTCAGCTGATTTGCATTATTTGTGAAAGACATCTACTCTCTTCATGTACGTTTTTCTAGTTTTCTCTTCACTTTTTGCGTTAATTCACGCGTTTACACTTTATTTCCACGAGTCACACTCTTTGGCAAACTTTATTTTAGTTACGAATAAGTCTTTAGAAAGACGTCCCCAAAACCTTTTACGTATGTATTCCTGCTAGTAATCATGGCATGTTTTATATGGGCTACACCTGCATTCCCCAGGCAGTTTTTTTTCGGTTGTCAGGCTCCTGGTCAAACAGACCTCGGAGCAAAGCAGGGAAACCATCACCAAGGCAATAATCAGCTCTGTCCTTCTCCAATTACCCACCGTGTCCAGTTACATCTCCGCTCCCTATGCCTGCCTTTGAATCCTTTTGCCAGCTCCAATTTTCTATATGCTTTGTTTTTCGACCCCATAGATAGCGGTGCTGCTATAGGCCAGAAAGACGAGGGGGAAAAAATAATCTAAGAATGTACTTTTGTGTGTGTTTGGTGTGTGATTAATGGCGTTCGCCGAGTTTATTTTCACTTCTTGAGGAAAAATATGAGTGTTTGCATTGCAACTGGCCTTTAACCTGTCCTGCCGGATGGAAAGGCTTTTTAACTCATCCATCACACGCAAGTGCCCTCCAGAGTAGAGGAGGAGCGGGACGCGGGTATGGAAGCTGAGGAGGTTGGATATTTAGATTACCCCCATCTATCAGCCTGCTGTGGGGGACAGAGTAGAAATCACCAGTCCTCCGCTGCGTCCAATCTCCATATGTTCTAAATCCCGTAATATTCCACTGGGGATCTGCAAGGTCATCGGGTTTTAGTTTTTTTTTGTTTTTCCTATGATTTCTGTGCTGTTTCGGATTTATGTTGTGATCTATTGCAGATGTTTTATGAAGCACAAGTGTGCGGTTGTGAAAGATACAGTATATCTTTCTAGATGTTCTATAAAGACGTTATTTGCCTTCCACGAATCAAGTGCAGTTTAATATAAAATCGCCATACGAGTTATACACAAGAGACGGATGGGTCGTGTACCCAATAACCTCCTCTGAAACGTGCTCTTCACTTACATAGTAAATACCACCTGCTATAATGGCTAAACCATCCGATGAGTCCCTTTGGTTTCAACTTTCTTCCACTTAAACCTCAACTACACCATTGTCGGACTGTTGTTGGTCCGCTCTCCTTGTGCGTAAACGGACTAAGGAGAAGAGCGTTTTGAGGTTCAGAAACCGAGGTCAAAGGCAAAAACGGCATGCTTCAGCTCTTAAAATCAACTGATAAGATCATCTATTTAAGGCCCATGACAATCTGAGTTTAAACATTTGACCAATGGGCCCTCTGGATGGCTCATTTTCATCCGAACAGGTTGCGCACAAAGAGGCTGAGCATGATGAAGATGGTACAGGGCGAGCGATTGTTAAGAGCATGCGCCATTGTGTTTTGATGGGCCTTCGGGGGGAGTTTTCCGGTCGGACGGGGATCCCATGTCAGAAGTCACTGTCGTACAATGGTCGAAAATGCTCGAGACTGGCGCCGGTGACACTCCCGACTTTCAGACGGATACAGCCGCGCGCTTTTTTACCCAACAAACGCAGATTACACACACAGGCCGAGCTGCAAAGTCAGCAGGTCGGTCAGTGTCATATTGCAGATTGCACTTGAACTCTGTTATTAACCGAGTGAAGCATATTTGTCTGTTGACCTCATCTGTGTTTTGCGCTTTGGTTTTTCTGCTTGGGTGTGTTTTCTTCTAAGCGTCAGTCGGTCAGTCGTGAGGTCAGTAAAGCTCGTGTGTTGAGAAATGTAAAGAGAGCTGTCCCCCCAAAAAGCTGTTTTTGTGAATAATTCACGCCAAACGAACTGGCGTGTAGATTACCTGTGTGCAGACTTGTTTTGCATCTCCAAATGGAGCCCCGAAACTAAATGAAAAATTCCAAAGACCATTCATAAACCATTTTCTCGCTGACGTTGCTTCAAAACACAAACTCGATTAATTAACGACAGTGATTAACAACAGGATGCCGCCCAAACAATGGTTCTGCTCCATGTTTTTCTCTAGTGCAGCTGTAACCTAGATGTCAGAACATCTGGAAGAGACTCGGTAGTTCAGCACGCAGCCTTTGCGCTTAATTCCACCATTAGCGCCAACACATGCACCGGTTTTACATCGTGTATGACGTCCCATGCACCAAATCCGTCAGAAAGTTAGAGTTAATGTTCTTAAGCATGTAAAGGAACATCAAACGTTGATTTTCGACGCAGGTCCAGAGCTTTTGGATCTCTACACATAAATTACCAGGCCTACACGTGAAGTAAATTTCAGAAATTCCAGCAGAAATCGTCATTTTACAATTCATGGATGTCATTTTCAACAGCAAATAACTGCAATAAATGCTAATTGCACATAGATAGAGTGGCCGCCTCTTCTGAGATGATGCGCATAAAAGCTGGCTCGTGCATCAATATCATCAAAATTGAGGTCAAATCCTTTCCCATCAGCGTTTTCAATCGGATGGAATATTTTAAGTCTGTTAACGTGACCGGAAGCCGTTCATACATTCATAGGGTTTGATGTTTACACGTATTTTTGTGACCTGTCTGATCATAAATCAGCGGTGGCTTTGGCCACTATTGTTTGGGCTCTTTTAAACGTCGGCGTTTCTCTCAGCGTTGCCTCAAAACACTTCGTGCGAAGCAATGCGAGGTTTGACAGGCCATTTTTCAGTGACCGGTTGTCTCTTTGTGTGAGCTCTAGTCAGTTTCTCAGAGCGCGTCACAATGCGGTCCGCGACATCACCGCGCACCTTTCACACAGAGGGAACAGTAACTGGGCAGGTCCGTGTGAGGTGGCAAATGTTTATTCAGCTCAGTACATATCCGAGATATTGTGTGTGTGTGTGTGTGTGTGAGTGTTTAGGAAGCCCACTCCAGCATCGTGGGGCTGGACACATTTCAGACATACCTGCCAAAATAAAAGGATCATTTCACTGGTAAAGAGAAAATGCATGATTGTGAGATCCTCATAGGTAAAAAAAGTAGACGCCATTATGTATACGAGTCAGAAACGTGAATAAAAAGTGAGGGAAAGTTAGAATTAGAATATATTACTGGTATATTACTAATATATTACTGCCCCCAGCGCAGAAGTCTGTTGCGCGTTCAAAATAAAGTTGCATAAACTCAGATAGTCTCCCTTCTTTTATGTGTTTGTGTTTTCACGTCAGACTATCTTGTCGGAGTGGATTTCTTGCAGCGGGCAGGTTAGGTGGGTGGGGCCCGCTCCTTTTTGGGGAGGTTAAAGCCAGCAGATGGGTGGGTCTCTGGTGTGAGCTCGGGAGCTTCTTCCCTGCAGGACGGACAGAAGATCTTCCTTACTTAAGAGGACAGGGAGTTCAAGCAGGGGAAGGGAAGAGGACGAGGCTTTTTTGTAGGCTGTTTCTTTTTTTATTTTTAACATCCCTCACACCGGTGTTCCGTGGAAGATCAGAAATCTCGTGGAAAATTCCCACCCCCGGCTCATGCCGCGGCGCGCGTCCGACAGCCGTTGGATTTTTAGCGTAGCTGTCGGAGACAGCTGTGTGCATCCCAGGACTCACCCGATTTTTTCCCCTTTAACGCATCCCCTTCTCTTCAAGGTGGGATGAATTTGGACAGAATCTCAGAGGCAGGGAGAGCGCCGCCGCCCCGCGACGTGACCGCCGCGTTTCATTTACAGAGAACCCCAAACAGCAGCCGAGAAACTTTAGAGAACTCAAGCAGCGAGTCTTCAGACACAGAGCTGGCAGGTATAGCTACTCGATTTTGTTGTTCTCAGCGCTGCTACAGTTCTTTTTTTTGTCACACGTACAGTAGATTCACCTTTCCCGAAATGTTTCACGGCACGGGAAATGGAAACAGGACAGACGGGTGTCACAGTTTGGCTTTCCGATCATTCAAATATCCAAAACCTCTCCAAAAGTCACGTAGAAATGTTTTCTTTTGTCTTTTCTGATATAAAAAAACACAGAGGGGGTTAGTGTCCAGTTTCAGTAGAGCTCCACTCCTGTTTTTTTGTTTTGTTTATTAACGTTGGCTGAAAGTAACACTTGGCAGGATCCAGGACTCTGTCACGGAACAAAATGAGCAGAGCAGCCCTGGCCCGCAGTCAGCGAATGCATTAAAACAAACTATAAATACCGGGGCCATCCGCTAATCTAAATGAAAAAGCCAGGAGGTTTTTATCAGCTTGAATCTTGCCACATGTAGGAAAAACAAAGGCTTTTTTCTTATACTGCTCTGTCGACATGAGGAAAACCATATGATGTCTTCGTATCTGGTTGATGGGGTCTGTGGGGGTCTCGGGCAGCATGTTTTATTTTGTCAAACGGTGAAGATATAGCCTACTTTTCGACACTTTTATTGACATTTCTACGCGTTCGCTGTTTGCTCTTAATTTTAGTGGAACAATCGTGTACGTAGCCTATACAGAATGCGGTTTGCAGATCAGAGTCTGCAGGCCTTGCCGAAAAGCACGGCACGTTTAAATTAGTTTGTAACAAATCTATGCAGAGTTCATGTCAGCAAATATTTGGCTTCAACGGCTAACCTGTCACACGAGTATTTTTTTTATAAAGAAAACCTGTAGCCTGTAATCTTGCACAGTTCTTCAATGTTTTAAGGCCTGTTTTATTATTTCTATTGAGTTCTAGCCGTTGTTTTTCATTGATCCCCATCTGCATGATCTAATTCTCTCAGGACAAAATGCAAACCGTTTCCACCTTGATTATTCTCGTTGCAAAGAGTGTTTTAAGCCACAATGTTTCATCCCCAGAAAAGGATAGGAGCGCAGAGCACAGGAGCGATGACGGGAACGCGGACGACCCCAAGAAGAAGAAGCAGCGGCGTCAGCGGACTCACTTCACCAGCCAGCAGCTGCAGGAGCTGGAGGCCACTTTTCAAAGGAACCGCTACCCGGACATGAGCACAAGGGAGGAGATCGCCGTCTGGACAAACCTCACCGAGGCCAGAGTGCGGGTAAGAGTCACCCCTGCTCTCCGCGGGTCGTGCGTAAAGTGCGCGTCACGACGATTAGAGTTATTGGACAAAAAAAAAAACAGGCGGCCTAAAATGTCTGAATCACTTAAACTGAGTTGCGTAATTTGCAATCGTAATTAGAAAGGGGATGCAATGTATTTGTCGTTTCATTGACATGGGAAAACGCTAAATCAATGGGTGCGTAATTCATTTTCAATGCAAAAACACGAAATCAAAAACGCACATACCACAGATATTGTTTTTTCTCTCTCTTTCTCTGTTAGATACACGTGTGTGTTTGTATGTGTGTGTGTGTGTCCAATATATAATGTAATTTAATTTTTAGAAGTATGTGGGTGTGTATTGTTCTTCCTTAGGATAAAATTAAGGCCTTTCTCATGGCATTTTTCCCTTTTTACCATAGGAGTTTTATGAGAAGCGGCCTGGCGATAACCTGCTGCTGCTGCATAGCAGAATTAGTTTAAAAAACCCATCAAACCAAATCTGTTGGGCAACTCAGGGACGTGTTTGTGAGTGGATCCCCTAAAAAAAAGCGAGATTTCTCAGTACGTTAGCAGCAACAGTTCGCAGTCATCCCTGACTGTCAGCAGCGGTGCATCCAAAAACTACAGCCCTTCCTCTCGATATCCCTCTCTCTTGTTCTCCTCTGTATGTGTGTGTCTGTGTGTGTGTCTCACATACGGACACACACACATATGGAAAACTTGCATTTTAGGATTAATGCACGCCGCCTTTTGACTGTTTCGCTTTGTTCGAACTAACGCGTCCTTTTTAGATGGTGTATCCAATCTGCTGATGGAGTCTGTGGATTATTTGTCTTTTTATGACATCATCAGTTGTGTCCAAGTCTGCAGCTGCGCTATAAACCCCAAGAGCGAGTAATGATTTCTCTTAGGAGAAGGTTTTTTTAGCGCGGAAGAGAAGAAAATAAGTCAGACGCTTGCGTGTAACACAACGCAGTTACAGTTGGTTTTCATTGACAGCAAGAGGCGCCCCAGTAAAAATCCACAGTCTCAAATTGCACAAAAATCAAACGCAACTTTTTAAATTGCTCAGGGGGGGAGAGGGAAAATAAGCTGAGAGTGTTGGATTTGCATTTGAGCTGCAGCAAGGAGGAGGAGGGGGGTTAAACAGTTCAGGCTTTTATTGTAAGGGAATAAAAAGAGAAGGCTGCAAGAGTGTGGCGTGACAGGATCAGTCCTAATATCACCGGCCATTTGTTCAAATAAGACTTTTTTTAAATGTTTGGAAGTGACTGTTATATCTAATTGGATGTTTGCCTGCCTGACTTGTGCTGTTGTGACGTTATACAGTCTTTTGTGAGGTTAAATTAGGTTTTTAGCTCGTTAAAACTATATTTGAAAACGTCGCCGACGCACACGAGATGGGCAGCAAAACTCGTGGGTCTCCTCCACGGCTCTCCATAACATTATTCACGTCTTTGTGGGCCATTCATCAGCAACACCCTGCTCTCCGAGCGCCTGTATAAACACCACCGACCGGCTGTTCTACTTGTAAACTGTTTTCTTGGGCGAATTTTAAAACAGCGACCCAGGGAGAGCAGGTCTCAAAAAGGATATCCATATTCCGTTTACTGTCCAGTCACAGTTTTGTTTGTTAGACTGCCCCACTCTGAAATAAATGACATAGCACACTAACTCATTTGACTAAAATTAGGCAGGATTTTTTTAATTATAATTGTTATTTTTCCTGCGGAGTCTCCAGGCCAACTGTTTGTATTATTTATGTCATCATTCATAGCAGACTCGCTTCCAAAAATGCATTTACATAAAAGAAAAAGGTCCTTTAAGGCTATTTTGCGTGTATTTAAATCAAACATTATGTCATTGGAATCGGGTTTTCAAAGCAGAATGACTGAGTGTTGTCTCCTCGATCCAAACCAGACGAGACGTTTGCGTTTAAAGTCTGCAGGCACGATTGCACTTAAAAGAAAAGAAGTATTTTGATCATTTCTAAAATACGCGATTGTCTGAGCAGAAATAGAAACAGCAACATCTCGCTGGAATAGAACAGAAAATATTCTGATGCTGAATCTAAATGAACAGAAAAGGGTCATTTTTCACCCTAAAGGATTTAACACACATTCATTGATTCATTAGTTATTATTAAGTTATTAACATGTGTAAATTCACTTCTGGTTGTGTGTCTCGAAAATAGCTTTAGATTGAAACTATATCTATTTTTTTTTCTCGTATGTGTTCTTTTTCGGGTTTTTTTAGGGGTTTGTGGCTTGTAAATGATTGTAAATAGGTGTTTCTGGACGTTTGCACAACCTGGAGCCTCCAACACTTTCTTGTTGTTTAAATTAAAATTCTGTGCGTGCACAGGTGTGTTTGTGTGCGTGGAATGAGGGGATGAAATACACTTTTTGGACTATTATTTCTGCTTTGACTTGATCACGGGATAGAAATGTTGAATTGAAATGAGCGTGACCCGTGTGTGCGTGTCTCTTTCAGGTATGGTTCAAAAACCGTCGGGCCAAGTGGAGGAAGAGGGAGCGGAACCAGCAAATGGACCTGTGCAAGAACAGCTACCTGCCGCAGTTCAGCGGCCTCATGCAGCCCTACGACGACATGTACCCGGCCTACACCTACAACAACTGGACCAACAAGGGCCTCACCCCGGCGCCGCTGTCCACCAAGAACTTCACCTTCTTCAACTCCATGAGTCCCCTCACTTCGCAGTCCATGTTCTCCGCGCCTAACTCCATCTCCTCCATGACCATGGCCTCCGGGATGGGTCACTCCGCCGTGCCGGGCATGCCCGCCCCGGGCCTCAACAACATCAGCAACTTGAACGGGATCGGAACCTCGGGCATCAACTCGGCCATGTCGTCGTCCACGTGCCCCTACGGACCCCCTGGCTCTCCGTACAGCGTTTACAGGGACACTTGCAACTCCAGCCTGGCCAGCCTCAGACTCAAGTCCAAACAGCACCCGACGTTCGGATACAGCGGCCTGCAGAGCCCCGGATCCAGCCTGAACGCCTGCCAGTACAACAGCTGACGGGCCTAAAAAAAAAACGTGGCAGATCCTTCTGGGCTATAATATATACCTGCAGACGAGAAAAAAGCAAAAAAAAAAAAAAAAAAAATCAATGACAGCTATAAACTGGATGCGCGTAAAATCGGTTTCCAAAGAGAGAGAGAAAAGTGGATTATGCGGGTTACATTTTGTTGCAGTGAACTTGCACGGCAGTTTAAATGTCTAGGGTTTGTTCTCTTTTTTTTTTGTTCTGTTCTTTTATTAATATGAAGACGTGTTACATTGCCGCATTGTACATATCTAAGTGTAAATATATACAGGTCTAACATATGAAACAGACGGTGGGATTTTTTTTTCTTTTCTGTGCTTTCTGGCTTACTCTTGAAAACTTCATGTGAAGATTTAGACAAAAAAAAGAAAAAGAAAACAAGGATTTTCAACAGCAACAGCAAAGAAAAAAAGAATAAACATACACTTTAAATGAAAGTGTCGCACATTATGAAACCGAACTCGATTAGGGGAAAAAAGAGAAAGAAAATCCTGTCTAGACTGTACATATTTTGTAATGCTTCTGAGTGCTTTCTGTTTACTGCATATGCTGAGTGCCACCGGCCCATTCGACACCTCCAGTTTGAAATGCTTTTCGTTATGTTTGTTGAGAAAAATAATATTATTAATAATAATGATAATAATAATAATAATAATAATAATAATAATAATAGCGCATGTGTAACTTGAAATTTGTATGAGACTTTGCAGAAGTTCAGTAGTCTAAAGTGTAAAAAGAAAATGATTCAAAGTCCTTATGTGTCATAAATGTTTGAATAAACTCCAGGAAAAGAGGTTTATTTCAAGAATATGTTTTAGAGTACTCTTTTAACCACTGAGGTCCCCGTGGAGCTAAACAAATTATAGTCGCTCAGTGTTTAAAAGATTTCTAAGAATGATAGATAAAGCAGTATTCACTCCATTCTGGTGCCATTTCCTGGGGCTTGACTATATATATCTATATCCAAGGAAATTCTGAGGTGCATCAAAGGCCTCAAGATCACGAGACTTTCTCAAAGCTTCTCTTATTTCTTGAGGTTTAAACCTGCACCGCAAGTATTGCGTTGCTGTGAATTTCCCATTCAAACCGATTTATGCTTTTTTTTCAACACTCCGAAGCCTCCGCGTTCCGTTCATTCTATGTTTTTGTTGAAGGAGAGATCGGATTATTCTTTAGTAGACTGTAGTTTGTTGTTGTTGTCTTTGTTGTTCTTTGTTTATTTGGTTTTGGCCGATGCAGTTCTGACAGGGGGAGCTGATTTGGAAATGAAACATTTCCTGAACCGGGACTATACCAGCTGAACAAATGTGGGAAAAATAAGCTTTTTTTTTGCACTTTTTAAGGAAATAGCGTCTCTGTGCTGACATTAGTGGCTTTAAAAAGAATGGCAGAGATGCCATTTTGAAATAATAATCAGTTCATTCTGATATTTACCTTTCTCCCCACTGGATTTGGAACCAGGATGCAGTTTGGTTCGGTGTGCGTCAGCTTCAAAGGTTACATCCATGTATTTTTTTGTACTCTAATCGCAGGAATAAAAACATTCTGCCTCCTGAGCAATGCCCCTGCTTCGACGGGTTATTTGAACGAGAGGAAACGTGCCTTCAGAGGTCGGGAAACAAAGTAAAAATCGCACAAATTCCCACAATAAATTCAGCCCAGGCCGTATCTCGTTTTCTGACACCTGCAGAAATCCCCATATCTATATTACTCGCCATTAGGCTGATATTAGCGCGTTTCCAGAGTGTGACAGCAAAGATTGTGTGCTCAGACTGATAGCGCTCTGCACTGGAGGATTAAAGGCAGCAGTTTAATGAACCACGTAATATGCGTCTTGTTGCGGGTCGATAACGAAAATAGCTCTCCTACAATCTTGTGCTCCACTCAGTGATAGTCAAGGTTCGCCGCACATCGTTGACTTTTAGCTTTTGCTTTCTTTTAAAGCTCATTTTAGAAATGCAGCATAGTTGAAGGCATGTCCTTCTTAATCCCTTTTTGCGCCAATATTGTGGTCCCTAATTTTGTCATTTTTCACCTTCTAAACTAACACACACTAACATTATGCCTATGTTTTTTTCACCGAGTTTGATAAAAGCCAAGACATGGGCTTTCTGTTTAATCTAAAACTAATGTTTTGTTATGCGGAATGATATCACTTAAGTTGACCTTATATACCACTAATCATGCACCGCTTAACGAGTTATTTTGGAGGGATGGACAACCTTAAATGTAGGCAAGATTTAAAATGTAGTATATTTTTTCCCCTTGGTGATTTTGTATTTGCAAAATTGTGTGACAGTCACAAACATTTCTGCCCATTAAAGACTCTTTGGAGGGGGGTATCGTCTTAATGGTGCATTCATATGAAATTCCCATATCTAAAATTCCATTATATGGCTATCCTGTACTCATGTCTCAATTGAGACACTTATCTGATTTTTGGGAGCTGCTTTTCGAGGCTCTGATTTTTAAACATGGCATGTCAGAGTGTGCACGGGAATGCATGAAGTTTATTGAGGCCATGAGGACTTTTAGTGTTTTCATATGAAGGTATCAGAACCTATCAAAGGAGGATGTGTGAGCTTCCACAGTGGGAAATTTCCTCCAATTTCTCTGTGCGCTTTTTTTTTCTGTCGCTCTCAAACTCTGTCACAGCTCGGCTGGAGCTTTGTTGTCACTATAAGGTTATGCCCTCCACAACAAGTCACAACACCATGCAGCGCGCGCAGCTTCGAATTCTTTCCGTGGGAGCGCCCCGCGCGAGCAAGCGCGCGCGCGGTGCGCAACGTTTACTCAAGGCGGGGGATGCGCGTGAGTGCGAACTTCCAGCTATCAGATTTGATTTGGAAATGTTTAACCGGAGGACGAGGCGGGCTGGAGGTGCGTGGTCATTTGCAACAAAAACAAAAGCGCGTAACAAATGTCATAAAAGATTCCCATAATAACATGAGCCGGTTATAAAACGAGCCTGAACCTGGAGGGCAAAGTTTAACGAACTTCTTTACAGCCAGTAAATATTTGAACTATAGGGTTTCTCTGGTGAGGAAATCCCCGTGGTCCCTGTCATAGAACATAAAAAAAGAACCAAATAGAACAGAATACCCGTTTTTCAACTATTTATGCTTAGAAGAGAGTGAACACTGCCGATAGAAGGATTCATTTCACCATTTCAAACATTCAATATAGGATAATCTTAGACTAATGTTCAATGACTCATGTTAGTTGTGGACTGGGGACCTGTCAGGAGCCCCAAAGCTGACTTAGCCCTTGTGTAGGTCAGCTATTTGGATGGACTTTACCACCAGGCCTGCACTATACTTCATCTGTGTATAGATTTCCTCAGGTGACCACGAATCACTTAAACTAATGTTCTTTTTGGAGTTGCATAACTTTACCCCCAACTGAATAAGATAGAACGAAAAATAACTTACTTATTTGTTCAATTGTTCAAATACCTGTAATCTAGCTCCAGAGCCCACGTGACCTGAAGAAAATTGACCGATTTGTTAGTTATTTAGACTAAATATATATATATTTGTCCATCGCATTTAAAGTCACACTCCTTACTGAGCATTCTGAGGATTTTTTTCCCTATCGTTTTCTGGTAGTCAAAATTGATCGCCAAAATCAGATTACATATCTGCACCACCAAGGACAAAAGCTAGCTTCTTACTTCTAAGCATTTCATTTAGTTTAGTTTTTAAACTTTTGTTTTATGTCAGTTCAATCAGCGACAGTCTATTTGGCTTGTCTTCAACTTAAAGGTTCAAGACTAAAAGAAGGTATCACAGTCATAATATGAGATATGATAGAAATATATATTATATTATATATATAATTTAACATTAAACTATTTAATTACTTTTCTAAGAGTTCTGTCCTTAAAATGAATGTATTGAGAAGCTGTGGGCTTCTCCGTGATTTCTGCCAGATCAGGGAAATAGGGAAACGTCCGTTGATTACATAACAAGTCACTTTCAGGATGGATTTTACCCAACGTAACTTTGAATTTCAGGACTGGAGTTGGTTTGTGCAGGAAAAAAAAGAAAAGCACACACACCTGCAGTAGTCTTATTAGCCGCTAGAGTCCGCATGTTCTGTGATGGTCACATTCTCCACAATACTACACCATAACGCCAATGATGTCAGCGTCGACACATTTTTTTCTCTTTCCACGGGGTGTCGAACGTGACTTCTGGATGATATTTTCAAATCGAATCAGAGCTAAGCGTGGTCTGCACGTGCAAAAGTAATTCATGCTGTCTTGAATGCTGCAGAAAAAAGGAAAAAACAGGCAAATGTTTAATGGATAAAAGGTAGATACATAACATATGTTTTATATATCTTTTTATATGTATGTTTTCTATCTTTTTGCTGTCATTAAGAGACATAGAGGGAATATCCTTTGTGGAACAGTATAAAACCATTACCACAATTTTATATTTGTTGTGGTGAGTATTATACACACATGCATCTGACCAGAAAACTCAGACACAGTATCTTACAATAGGTTTCAGTAGTGAAATTTCATGGTAAACCTGTGCCGTTTCCCAATCGTATAAGGGTTAAATGTGCAGCTCTCCCTCTGCATGCCAAAATCAAGGTAATACAAAAACATATTCCACAGTATTATACTGGCCACTGAACTATAAGGCTGGAAGCTGGGAACAACACAAGGAGCATGTTTTGTGGTTTCATTTCATCCGGTTGATGTCAACAAGAATAAACCTCACAAAAACAAACCAAAAGAAGGGGAAAAAAATAGTGAAAGACTTCTTTTTTATTTAACATTTCTACAGATTGATTTTGATATTACCTTGGAATTGACTGAAAATAATTGCTTGGAGATTTAGTAGTGTGCATTCAGTCCAGAGTGTATAAAGTTATATTTTGTGGAGGATTTTGTACCATACAAAGTTAAACAGAGGCATAACACCAAGATCCTTAACGGTGCTGTTTCTACTCTCAAACA